AGTACCTGCTATGGAAATATTTGGGTGTTGCTCCTCCCAACACTGGCACACCACCACCGCGGTTTCGTTTTGGTTTGGACTCCTCAGGTGGGGATAACCTGAGCTGGGGTGGGACTCAGAGCCTAGTAGTTCACGGCTGACACCCTGAACACTATGCTACTGAGATCCGCGAGCAATGCTTGGCACAGCGGAAAGTAATTCAAAGTTGAATTTAGCGAACGCGCTGTGTGGTTGGGTTGCGACTCGCAACCTCTATTGACACCTCGGTTCACTTTGAGGTAAACCTCGGTCATTCCGATTGCGAAGACCGTATCCGGAAATATTTCCATTCCGGATACGGTCCTCGTGATCGAAATGACCGAGGTTTACCTCAAAGTGAACCGAGGTGTCAATAGAGGTTGCGAGTCGCAACCCAACCACACAACGTGTTCGCCAAATGCAACTTTGAAGTACCTACTACCCTTAATAAAAACCAGACGAAACATATGCTTACATTTCTTTCCAAAGAGGGACACCCATCTATGATATAAGCCGTCACAGGAAGGACTGTGAGCACTTGTCGACATTTAAGAAGTGTCTACCAAGTTTTCTTTCCACATTAAATGCGATCAAAACTTGGCCTTAAACAATATATGAGTGCACTCATGGAATCCCGCTCGAACAGCATGCTACTGTTTCAGTATAGCGAGGTGCAGAAGCCACATTGTAACCGAATATACTGAATGTAAGTCAGGTCAAGTCAAGTCAGAATAAGCTTTATGTACCCGAATGGGTTCATTTTCAGCATTTACACCATCACTCCGGATATATGGATGATAATATCAATATAGTGCTTGGGTAGAAAAGTGGAAAAAAGCAGAACTGTTACTCCAACAAGTGCTCGCGCAGCATGTCTGTGACTTTCGCTGGGTCAACAAGCAATCGTGAGAGATAAGGCAAACAGTATTACGATATGATGACGTGCGGGCGAATAAGATTCTGAATTTCGAACGGGTAGAACAGAAGGAGAGCGTTTTGGAAAGATCACTATGAAGTGGATGAAATCGATCAGTTAGTACCTTAGAAGAAAAAGCATTGCAGGCACCAAGATGTCTAGAAATAATCATAGCATCTAAAGAATCTGTAGACAAGCCACTGCACCTAGCAATGTACTTTATAGACCGCACCAATAAGATGTAGTCTTTCTGAAGTAGTCCAGCGAAAATGACAGGAGAGCAGTATAGCCAATGGTGAATAATACAAGAGATCACAAAGCTGAATATTAAACTAAGAGGTACTGAAAGCACCTTAAGTCTGAGGGTATAAAAAGAAAGGTTTCTGACTTTTGAAAAGTTTTACAGACGTGCGCGGACAAAAATGGTTCTGGGACAAAAAAACCCCGAGAAAATTGACGGTGGAAGAGCTGGGTACGGGATTTTCATTCACAGTAAGTGTGGGGGAGAAAGCTGTGAGGGACTGCAACATCGCCACGTAGAAAAGAAAATATTACATCCTTGCATTTAGAAGCATTAAGCCTAAGAGATCTGAATGAAGACCATTCCACCAGATCTTCCAACCCACGTCGAAGTGATGAGGAATCATGGTTAATGGGGGACACACTTCCCAGCACAATATCATCAGCATACTTACACCCTATAAACGTGGTTTGTATGGAGAGATGTTCAAAATACATGGAAAATAGAAAAGGTGATAGGATCGCTCCCTGTAGAACACCGCAGTCAGCACGGAGGACAGAGGATTTCTTACTCTTCAACTTAGGGTAGTGAGTACGATCTGTAAAGTAGTCACGTAACAGATTACACACTCCAGGGTGAACTCCAATTTCGGATAGCAGGTTTAGCAACCTTGAGCTATCCAGGATTCCAAATGCATTCGAATAATCCAAAAGAGAAGCCGTACGGATTTGCATTTTTAATCTAATGCAGAGGCTATAGATTGAACAACATATGCCACTGCATCCAGTGTGGAGCGCTGCGGTCTATACGCGAACTGGTAGATATCATCTTCAGGAGCAGCTGAAAATTCCGCGGAATTGACAATCTTTCGAAAAATTTTAAGAGCACAGATGTACATGCGTTCGGGCGATACTTTTGAGATCCAGTTTTTGATACTGGAGTAATACTGGCCGCTCTCCAAATGTCCGGGATCACACCCGTAGTGCGGCACTTGTTAAAGAGGTCTGTTGGAGGCAGTGTGAGAGATTCAGCACATTCCTTCAAAGCTAAGGGTGAGAGGGCATCCGGACCACAAGCTTTTGTTGCATTTAATAATTTGAGTTCCTTGTGGACGTTGCTTCGGTCGCGTATGCTCCTCAGCTGTTTACATCCAAATTATGGAAAGAACGGGTTACATATAAAAGACAAGCAAAGTGCAATGTTATCGGCGAAATTTAAAGCGCTCGAAATCCGATTTCATGTAATCTGGTCAGAGGAAAGATCGTTAGTCTCACCAAGGTAGGGTGAGGCTGGTCAGGAAATCCTTTTGTTTGCACAAACTTGGTTTTAACCGCCGAATCGCTGGGGCCTCGGCGAACTGGTGCGGGTTACTTTTTGTTGATTATCTTAAACACGCCACGTGGGTTTTGGAACACAGGACAATCACATATGTGGCGTGCAATCGAGCTATTGGGTAACTTTGGGTCATTTGCGACCATGTTTCACGGGACATGCTCTGCAATCTTCGCCGGCAGCCTTCTCTCTGTTCGGTCAACGTAGTTGCTAGCGCAAGTACAGTTCCAGATGTAGGTGTACGAAGCGAGGCTAGTTTAGACAGTGAACAGCCATTTACCTCGTTTCGCTCTGACCGTTAGTTGGCGTGACATCAATAATCGCAGCACGCTGTCTGCTGGTAGGCGTGCTAGTTCAAGAGTTCGGTTTCTTTTTGGACACAGAAATATGACATAACTAGTTCTCCATCCATAAAATTCGTGCTTAATTAATCCACATCGATTCCTAAGCTCACCAGTGGAATACTGGTGAACCTCGCTGTACATGAACTTAAACCTCGTGTTTGGGGAAAATAATGAATAAGTGAATGCTAAAAACATTAATGCACTCATATCTTTTATTACGCTGGAAAGAATATTTGACATACTCAGATTTGTATTAAACAAAGCTATACAGACGGTCATTCCCCAGTCGAAAATATCCTACCTGTCGGGAAATATCAGATTTTCAATGGGGTAGTGTGATGCGTTTAGAACGAAAACGACAGTCGAAATGTGCTACGATTAGCCCCTCTCCCGAATTGTCAGCGATTTGAAACGATAAAGCATATGCTTGCGTCTGTCTCGATGGTGTTCAGCTCACAATGCGAGCATTTTACAAACCATTGTGCAGGCACGTGGTCTCGTACTAGCAACGCCTCGGCTGGCCCCATGATCACAACGGTCTTAAAGCAGCGAATCCGATCACCGCATTCACTGGGGTTGTGTGAGTAACCAACCAGATTAGAGTCGTGAGAACAATAATCTATCGATTGTATGTACAAACCTACGTCTGGCAAAATGACCGATCATATGCCGTGCTACATGTTAACTTGTGGGTAGGGTAGCCAAATGTTTGGTTTATCTGAAGACTACTAAGGAATTACGCCTAACACAGAGGTCGTGGGATCTTGGTTGGATACTAACTGAATGTGATGAACTCATTCGAAGAAGCCGGAGTTGCCAGAAGTGACCAGCAAAGGCGTGAATTCCGGCACCAATTGCTAGAACCATCGGATTCCATGTGGGTTGTGAGACGCAGGCAACCCGAGTTAGATGTCCGATGCTCCACAGGCAGTGATTTTGTTTCAAACGTGCCAGGGAGTGGTGATTGCCAAAACGGAAGCTTTCCTTACACGGACATATTCATGTTGGCTGAGTAAGTTGGAAGTTCCCATCATATGGACCAGGTGGAATTCAATATTTGATGTTTCCAAAAAATGGACACGTGTGAGGAATTGAAAGAGAAACGTACTCAGATGATAATCACCGAAGTGCACTTCGTAAAATTCCACGATCTTTTAGCTAAATGGGGGTGGGATTAGAATTACCGTTCGAATATCTCAACCAAAGAACGAACGACTTCCATGATGGTAGTGAACGACTCACGCTACCATTTAACCGCACATGGCTGCACGCAACCACCAGACGCGGACGCACAAGCTGGACATTATCGAAATGCAACTCAGCTCTTATGAACTTGTAGAGCCGTTGCAAAAGCGTAATAAAGGTCCATACGGACAACGCTGACGGCACATTTCAGGGTCAAACTTATCCCTCGAGATAAATACTAGATGGAACGGCCTAGGTCACGGACGCACAGCTCCACCAGAAGGTCCCTAACTAAACCACTATGATATGAAATAATTTTCACTATCAGCACGAGCTGTTTAAGAAAATTAGGTGATAGATGAACGCGGTTCTTTATTGGTGCGATTCTGTGCTATTCACCGCAATCGTCAGGCCACCCAACGCGAAAGCAACGGCAATCGGAGACCTCGGTCATAGTGTGACCAGCCATGGTCTCGGCGTGACCTATGGTGGCCGTGATTACCTCAAAGCACTACCTCACGCGGTCATAGCACTAAACGACTCTTAAAAGTGGTGAACTGAAAGTCGCTGCGAAGCAGAAAATGTTTCGGCACTATCTAATTTCCTCTGAATTTGTGTTCTGTACCACAACAGGATTACGGGAGCAAGTACCATAACTGAACAAATAGGGCTTTTGTTTCCAAGAAGTGAATCTGCTGAAATCGCATGCATCTGGTCCCCTCGTTGTTTGATTTTAATATTCAATCAGAACACCATCCGTCCAATAGATGAGTGAGAGTGGCTGCATTCGTTTCATTTTTCGATCAAATTCGACACAGGGATAAATGCGCCCTTGGTACGCGTGATATAAGTTAGTCGCACTTTTTCGAGATACCATCATGGAACGCTAAACTAATCCAGATGTACTGAGTGATATACCGAAAAATGTCACATTGCGAATTCATGCTCGTCATCTCGTTTTCAGGTCTAGCGAACCGGTTTCTTGTGGCATTGATGTGAACACCGGCCACACCATCTTGGTAAGATATACACATATAGGTCTTTTTATTTTTGTTGATGACTACTATTCCACCTGAACTTATGTTAGGAGGCAACTATTAAGTCAAGTCCGATGTTAGCATATTTGAAGTTGTTCCAATTAAGTGATGCCAGCTGGGTAGTTAAACAACAGGAAACAAACCATTATCCGCGGTTGGTCGCACACACCGACAATTCACTAGCTGGATCAAGCAATCAGAGATGCTGCGGCCGAGTGTGTAGACAGGGAACAATTTTCTGATCTGATGCATGGGTAAAGCGAGATAGCTACTGAATCAAAGAGGAACGCGCGTGCGCGTGATCTCATTTTGGGAAGCTGCCAGGAGAGATAAAATCCGGAAGTGCTCCTATTCATGCTCAGCGCATATGAGTTTCACACATATCACCCATGAGGAACAATGGTAGATACTGTTGGGTTTCGCATTGCGAGTTTATTTGTGAATATCACAAAGCCACTTAGTTTCTTCACGGGGGTTCGGGACCCACTAGCATTCGACCCTTGCACATTAACGCTGCTAGAACTTTCGAGGGCTCCTCTCTTTGGGATATGTGCAACAGAGAATATTGCCGAAGCCACAAACGGTGAATGTACTTAGATCTTACGTACCACTCTGATGGTAGGGTTATACCTTGGAGCTTAGGTCAATTTTTCAAGAAGTGACGACAGGTACGCTCAGGTAGGTCAATGAAAGGGTGTAGGTGATTGTTTGATGATGCCTGAAATCCACAACAATTTTGTAATGGAACACTGCTACTGGGGGCACGATACGGTTGGGTGTCGGTGGCTGTTGCCAGTAAAGTTATCGACGACATGTGACCCTCCCAGCTACAGAGATTTACATCGGTAGATTGTATATCTTCATATACCTGGCTAAAGTAAAACTGAGTTCACTTTTCACTACTTACACCCAGACTTACATGGAGCGATATTTGGACGATGAAGGTCACTTAACAGCTGATTGGAACGCGGTGAGCGCTTACGAATCCGAGGAGGCCACTCCGTGCGAGGACGCACGCAAGCCCGAAAACAAGATGAAAAACAGGACCGGTGCCCCAATACCCTGTAAGAAAGTTTGAATGGTTTAACTACATATATAATAGTTGAGACTAGCCAGAAATCAGTTTTAAATGTGTGAAAAGCATACTAGGCCTGCAAAAACCTTTTAGTGATATTCCATGAAAAAAATTTGTTGATTAAACGCTGACACTTCAATCACCGTTAGTAAAACAAACCCAAGTGCCCCGAAGTCATTGCTGGATTCTATAAGACACCGTTTACTTTATTTTTGTGAAGGACAGCCGAACACCATACTAACCAGTTGAGTAAAGCAGCAGCTCTGGATGCCGCAAAGGGCTCCAGGAGTTGAGAACGCCCATAAAAAATTTTAGTGAAGACTCTTTCCTAATCACGAATGCCCAAACCATATTCTATCAGCGCCTCTGTGATGGGGGTGAGTTATAAATAAATCAATGCGTATAGTTACCGACAAGCGGTATACGGCCCCATAAGAGGGAGCGATCATTTGTACAGTGAATTTGTTTCATGGTTTATGCGACGTAAGTTCATAACAAAGATAAATGTGAATAATATAATTTTGGATTAGCACTTTTCATTCGGGTCATAGACCCGATCAGCTAATATGTAAATTGTACCGACATTATCGCTTTCTAGTTTGTGAGGCTCAGGAATAGACCGTAGTAGGGATAGGATAATAGGTTGCACGGACATATGATTTAATTTTGTAGACAATGATATGGAGTGGGCAAGCTGATTGTATCAACTAGCTGCTCAATGTTATTTATACCCGTTTCTGTCAATGGCCCTAGACATTTTTGTGAGCCAAAGATGTAGTGAGGAAAGTCTGTAGGGAATTTCGAAATGTGACATGGTTTGCACTCATGCGTATCTGTAGGGGTAGTTTGTTCCACAGATCGGTGTATTTCACTACGATGAAATTCGATCGAGTTTTATGACTTGCATTCTTTGAGGGTAGCAAGTACCCAGCATTTCGTGTGGGGTAAACTGCAGTCTTCCGCAGCTCAAGTGCAATGCAGTTTGCGTAAAGTCGTTGGTTAACAACGTAGAAGAGAAGGAGGTTGTTCTTTAAGCGCCTCAATCAAATAAGATCTAGCTGGTGTTGTCAACACACAATAATTCAGGTTTGAGCAGCGCCCCATGATCAGCTTGGTGAATGCTTGTTGGACACTTTCCAGAGCTGTTCTGCCTTTCTCAATTGCCTGTGAACGATAGTACAGTATTCCAAAGTCCGTCGTACTATTATCTTGAATGACTCAAGTCGTGTTTTAGGCAGCTAGAAAGTTCTGGTAAAGGATCCGCATAGCTACTTCGCTTTTGCAACCAGCTAAAGCACATATTCGAAGAAATTGAAAGCGTTTGAGTGCCAAATTCCTAAGTCCCAAACTGAACCAGACGTTGGGAGAAGGTTTCCGGCAAGTGTGCTAGAGCTTTCCGGAATGCGGCATCTGTACCCAAGTACTTGGGATTTCATTGCGGAGAACTCCATTATCAAGCGTTCACTAGCGTTATTTATTACGAATAGATCTTCACTGTTACACGAGGCGATCCGGTGCTCTAAAAGTGCTATGTCCTCCCACACCTGACCGTGAATTTCACTCGCACCCAATGGTCCACTGTGGTTCATATGCATCAGACCGCCGCTTGTCCAACACACTCTCACCTTAACCTATATAGTCGACTGTCTTGGCTGTTTCATGTCACTTGAGATCTGGACAAAACACTGTCCGTTGCGCTGAAGGTCTTTGTTCTGACGACTCTAAGCCCCCATTAACCGCAATTACAACACTGGCGATGGATATGGTTGCCCATTCACAGCTAACCCAATTACTACAACAGCAGCATGCTTACATCCAGCAGCAACAGCGGGCTATGTTTCAACAAAAACAACGATAGACAATTTTATTCCAAGCACTCACTGCGAAACTGTCATCCTTAAATTGAACACCCACACAGGGAAAACGAGTCCACTTCAGCTGAAGCGTATGCAAACGGAATGCAAGAGTTTCAATATGACGCAGAGAACGGCATCACATTCGCAACTTGGTACAGGCGGTATGAAGACATGTCTCTGGTTGACGTGATCACGCTTGACAATGCGGCCAAATACGGTTGTTGTTACGGAAGCTAGGCGCAAATGAACACAACCAGTACTGTAATTTCATTCTACCGAAACATCCCCGCGAGTGCGATTTCCAAGAGACTGTAGATGTTCTCACTTCCCTTTTTGGTGAAAGATCTTCAATTTTTAATATCTGTTATCAGTGTTTGAAGCTAGTTAAGAGCCAATTCGAGGATTACGTTTCATACGCGAGCAGAGTGAACCATTCATGCGTATGTTTCAAGCTCAAACAACTTATGGATGATCACTTCAAGTCACTCATCTTTGTATCTGGCTTGACCTTGGCAACTGACGCAGAAATCAGAAGGAGTCTGTTATCCAAATTGGACTCATCTCCAGATTTCACCATTCAGGACGTCACCGCCGCGTGGCAACGTTTGGTCAACTTAAAAAGTGACTCACAAATGTTGCAGTCGAGACAACTGATGCCAGTGATCGCGATGGCAAAAAATCGCGATGACAAATTTTCTACCCGAACACAGACAGATGCCTATAACACCGCACGAAAGAAGCCACCACGTGTTTGTCGGAATTGTGGTGTGGCATTTTTTCAGAAACTGTCGGTTCATCAATCACCAATGCATCGTCTGCCACAAGAAACGCCATAGAGAAACGCATTGCCGATCAACCACACGAGGTCCTCATCGTGGGATCAATCAAGACTGTTTCAACAAAGCGCAAACAAATAGGAGTCTAATGTGGTTTATGCAACTGCACAGGAAGGATTTCTATCACTGTCACTATTAATGGTCAGTCAGTGCGCCTACATCTGGATACCGCATCTGACATTATCATCAACTCCAGTCCGACATGGTCGGCTATCGGTAGACCGATACTGTGCAACGCGGAAAATACCGCAAGGAGTGCATCGAACAGTATCCTACAGCTATATGGTAAACTTTCCTGTGAATATGCTTCCAGAAACGACAAACGAACCGGCGTCTGTCACGCTTCTGACAACCCGGCATTAAACATACTTGGTATTAATGTTGAAGTTTGTGAGTAGGGTAAAGTTTGTAGAAAGTAGGTCACGATTAAAATTCACGCACAATAATATGCCTCGACGGGGAGTCGAACCCCGGTCCACGAATTTCCGGTCCGCTGCTCTACCACCTGAGCTACCGAGGGCTGACGATTAGGTGCGCAAATTTTAACATATGACTTCTGCTTGGTGCGCGACGTATTGCCAATGGGCTCACAGTACCTGTCCTGATTGATTGGAGAACCACGTTGAAGCTGTGAAGTGTTCTTCTTGACTCTGTGTGTGATCAAACTTAGGAGTCTATCCGGTACGGGCATGTTATTAGTGCTACGCAGCGCAGAATTCTACAATCGTTGATGATATGGAGAAGCAATTCCTAGAAGTGTTCAACCCGATACTTGACTGTTGCACCAAGTTCACGGCATCTATGTATCTAAAGGATGATGCAAAACCTGTTTTTCGACCCTAAAGACCGGTGCCATATGCGTCTCTTAACATAGTTAACAATGAATTGGATAGCTTGGAGGAGCAATCAGGGGTGATTTTTAAAGTGGAATACTCAGACTGGGCAGCGCCCATAGTGATAGTGAAAAAGGGCAAACGGAACCATTCACCTATGTCTATCTTCAAGTGGTAGTCGATGATGACGCATGGCGCCTTCTTACAATTAACACTGACCGTGGTCTTCATCAGCACAATCGGCGACCGTTTGGAGTAAACGCTGCTCCGGGACTCATTTAACAACTGATAGATACTATGACAGCGGACATACCATCGACTTGTGCCTACTTAGATGTTATTATGGTCGCATCAACAGACAGAACCCATCAAAGCTGTCACTTCTTGCAGGTATTCAAACGTCTACAGGAATATGGTTTGACTCTGAGAGCTGATAAATGGTAGTTGTTTATGCCTCAACTGAAATACCTTGGTTTTATTGTCGATCGTGACGGGCGATGACCTGATTGTGAAAAAATGCGTGTCATCGAGGAATTACCTGCACCACGCGATATACCTACTCTAAAATCATTCATGAGCATGGTAAGTTATCACAGTGCATTTATTCCTGATATGCATCGACTTTACGGGCCAACGAATGAGTTGCTGCGTGAAAATCAACCCTGGGTTTGGTCATCCGAATGCGAGGAAGCGTTTAGGCGCATAAGGAAAGCTCTTGTATCTGACTTAATGCTGGCATATTAGGACCCAAAAGCATATACCATTGTCTCCGCAGATGCCTCTGGTTATGGTCGTGGAGCAGTTCTCCGTCAGCGGTTCGACTCTAGCACCATGAGATCGGTTGCTTACGCATCACGCGCCTTAACGAAGTCTGAAAGAAACTACTCACAGATCGAAAAATAGGCACTAGCTTTAACTTTCGCTGTCAAGTAGTTTCATCGGATGTTGCAGGGTGGAGAATTCGTATTGGAGACTGACTATAAACCATTATTAGCCACTTTCGATTTAAAGAAGGATATACCTGTGTACATGGCGAGTCGCCAACGCTGGGCGACACTGTTGCTCGGATATTATTTTAAAATAACTTATGTGCCTAGGGCACATTTCAGCTACGCCGATGCGCTGTCTCGACTTATCGCAAAAGAGCCAAGCATAGAGGAAGACCAGGTGATCCCGTCAGTTGCGCTTGAATCGGACGTGAAATGGCTTCTGTGTAACTCAATCATATCCCTACCGATTACTTCTGTGGACATTCAGGGGCACACCAAACTCGACCCTCTTTTGCAAAACGTTATTTGTTTTTAAGCGCAAAGTGGCCAGACCGGATTACTGGCACACACCTTAAACACTTTATTGTCGAGATGACTCGATAGCACTGGTTGATGCTTGTGTTATGTTCGGTGAGCGCGTGGTTGTTCCGAAGTCCCTGCAGAAAAGGGTGTTAAGATAATTGTACCTACATCACCCCGGAATATCACAGATGAAAGTTTTAGCCAGAAGTTACGTATACTGGCCGTGTATTGACAACACTATTCATGATTGTGTCACCACATGTAGCAATTGTCCATCAGCAGCGAAACTTCCAAACAAAATCATCCAACCCTGGATACCAGCCTCTAAGCCATGGGAGAGAACTCAGGTTGATTTCGCCGGTTCTGTTCAAGGCCAGTGTTTTTTGATTGTGGTTGATAAGTATACAAAGTGGCCGGAAGTACACCTGATGAAAACAACTACGACAGCGGTCACGGTACGAAAATTACAACATTTATTTGCACAGTTCAGTTCACCAAACACCTTGGTTTCCGATAACAGTTCTCAATCTCGATTATTTTGGTGTTTTCTGTCAGCGTAATGGTGTCAAGCACTGCCGGTCGCCTCCAGGGCATCCCAAGTGCAGCGGGCAAGCAAAAACATTCGTGGATACCTTCAAACGTTCACTTCTAAAACTGGGGGGAAGGAATGACTGACAGAGGAGATCATACAACTGTTCCCGTTAATTTATCGGGCTACGCTTAACCCCGCTGTACCAGGTGGCAGATCACCAGCGGAAGCCACTTTCGGGCGTGAGATCCATCTTCCAATTGATATAATACGCTCGAAGGTTATGCAACGGCCACTCGCGTCAGGCATGAGTAGACGTTTTCTACCAGGGAAGCCGGTGTACGCGTTGGATACAAGGCCGGACCATCAAACCTGGCAATCTGCATTAGTACGGAAAAGAAAAGATACGGTGATGTACGAAGTGTCTGTCGGACCGTTGTCTCTCATACGACACATTAATTAGTTACGCAAACGACGGATCGAACCAACAATCACTTCTACTTTCGAGTTGCCGTTCGATATACTGCTGGACACATTTGAACTACCAAAAACTGTGGGGCTTAGTGAGCCGACGGAAACGAGCGCAAAGCCATGCCACGGAGTCACTCGGAAACCTATGCGGACTACTAAACCTATTCGACATTTACAGATGAACCCAGCACTTCATTCGTATGAGTCTGAAGAACGTGTTTTCTAAAGGGAAATGTTACACGAGGCGATCCGGTGCTCTAGAAGTGCTATGTCCTCCCACACCTGACCGTGAATTTCACTCGCACCCAATGGTCCACTGTGGTTCATATGCATCAGGCCGCCGTCTGTCCAACACACCCTCACTTTAACCTATATTGTCCGTTGTCTTGGCTGTTTCATGCCACTTGAGATCTGGTCAATACACTGTCCGGTGCACTGAAGATCTTTGTTCTGACGACTCTAAGCCCCCAGTAACCGCAGTTATAACTTTCACATATGCCTCCCAGGCACATTTGTAGATGGCCTGCATGTTATGAGTAAACCAGTTTGACGTCATCTGCAAACAGAAATGGTTTCCTTGTTTGATCGGATCGTATATATTGTCTACCTAGATTAGGAAAAGTAGTGGTCTGAGCACACTTCCCTGGAAGAGGCCGCTGATTATTTGTTTCGGTGTAGAATATTGCTGACCGAATCTAACTACCTGGGTTCAATGGTTTAGATATGAGTCAACCCAGTGTAGTAGAGGGTTTCCAATGCCATATGAATCTAGAACGGACAGCAGTGGCTTGTGTGGCACTTGGTCGAACGCCGTTCGCATGTCCAACAGAATTATAATGCTTGCGATTCATCTGTCAGTCATAGTCGAACACGATCGAAGAACGCTATCTGGAAGGTAACACAGGAGTGTTTTGAGAGAAAGCCATGTTGTGAGGGATTGATCTGATTCACCCTCATCATCATCATTATACACCTCAGCTAGAGGTGGGAAAACACCTCCGCCATTGTGCCGCAATACATGAAGGAAATACATACATACATACATATAATACAATACACAAAGGAAAAATAGATACAACAGTTGCATGCCAGCTGAGCTACCAGCAACGAATAGGCATCGTTCCGGCAAGCTTCCAGCCAGCTACTAGGCAAAAAGAAAAATATTTTATTATGTTTTACCCTAGGAAATGAGATCGTAGATGGAGGGGGAGGCTAAAAGGGATGGGGAGGGACAAAGAAACTCACAGCACAAACGCCACTGAGGTCGGCTCCTTACCATGTCAGCAAGTGTATCCAGCCAAACGTGTTCACCGTCTTTTGGACCCCAACCAGGGAGCCGTGACGCTCCAACCGAGGCGAGCTCCGAAGTGAGGGACTTCATTCCTCTGGACCAAGTCATTACTTGGCCACCTCTCCTCTTCTTCCACCCACATCCCACAGACATGGTTTATAAGGTGGCAAGTTGACATTTCATTTCGAGGGTCACCCTTGTGCATTATAATGGATTGCTTCCATTGAGGTGAGAAGTAACCGGTAGTGAGAGAAAATGTGAAGATATTTAATAACAGTAGAAGGATGTTTTTCCGCCGAGTTTCATGACATTTGGGGAGATGTCATCTGGGCCTAAACGAATTGATGGTTTGAAGGATGTGATGGCACTTTGCACGTCTCCCAAGGTCACATGAGTATTACAGATTAGCTCATTCGTTCTTTCTGGTAGTGGAGGATGAAACAACTGAGTGTTAGGGACAAAGCGCGGTGCAGAGCTAGAACTGATAGCCTCGCATAGGCGGGAGACGTCGCGGGTTATTGAACCATCGTCCAGGACCAACGTTTCAATTTCCTGATGGGGTTCAGGGTTCCTACTTTTGAGTAGTTACATCAATGTACGTAGTTCTTCAGGACTGCTAAGTGCCCGACTTTCTTCTTTGATTTTGGCCGTTTGGGTTAGACTTTGTAGCTGTAGAGGAACGTGCATTCGTAGCAATATTGCGAGGCTGTCACTCTTGCGATATAGTGATTGGTTTCTTCAGTTTTGTTGTGGCTATGTTTAGAAGCTTGAGTTCACTATTACGTTTATAGGTATTTCTCCATACGGTAGTGCCAGTAGATCCATACCAAGGGCATTAACGCTAATAAAATCATTTGTAGCCACAATAGGGTTGTGAGTTAGAAATGACGTGCTCCAGTTCACGATACTGATACATTCATTACATGAGTTCCATTCCACATGATGGACGTTGCGAATGGGTGTTAATATTTTACTTAATGGTCTAGGTGAATCAGTAGTCATATCACAGAGAACCGCCTTGTGATCACAACCCAGAATAGGATTATCAATGAATACACAGGCGAACGAGATCCACATCGTGCGTACAAGGTCTGGGGTAGTGGTATTTCTAGTTGGCTATCTAACATGCCGGGTTCAGCTATTGAGGTGGATACATGAGATGATTTCCTCAATCCCCGCAGTGGTTTTGAGTGTAAGCAGCATCTAGTTAATATGCGGTGGGTTGAAATCTCCACAGTTAAGTTTAGGCTTACAGGTGACGGTGGAGGCAGCATTTATCAAATCGACAAGCTTTTGGGGGGCTTCACATTGAGCCGCTCGGGGCTGCCGATAGATAATAGAACATCAGTAGGTGGGATCACCAGCCATAGTTTATCGTCTTATTGATTGAGCAGTTTGTTCTGCGGAAATCGCGGTCAGGTTATTTCGTAGATATATGGCACAGCCGTCAGCACGTTTGTGTGAGCGATCTTTACGGAAAACGTTATGGCTTAGGATGTTAAGCTAAGAAACCCTAATTTCTGATGTGCACTAAATTTCAGTAATAAAAGCAATGTTGTGGGTTCTCATAAACATAAGTGTTGAAAGTCGATCTAATTTAGGTAAAAGAGAACGAATGTTAATAACGGCAGATTTGCAAGGCATTGTTAGATTGGAATAAAAGGTTTGGGTAAGGTTTGTTCCTTCGTCATTATGTCCAAAAGCTGTGTGTCGTGAGGTAGCTGAGTCACATTGAGCTCCACATCGTGCTGGATTGAATGGAGTACATAGTCCAGTAGATGGATTATTCTCTGACACATAATGGCAAGTGATAGTGGCTAGATTAGTGAGGGAGGATGTGATGGTATCCGGCAGTCTAATAAAGAACTTAGATCTGTAGTATACAGAGGTTGGGAGATGCTGAAGTCTACAAAAACGTTTCTGTTCGGATTGTTTTGTTTCCAGTTTAGTAATAAAGGGGATGTGGTGGGTGGGTTTTGACTTGAGGTAGATAGGGGTTGTACCCTCTTGCGTAAAAGTCCGTGAGACCTATCAGCATTTTGTGGATGTATCAAAACCCGCATGGTAGAGCACTATGTAACCAGTACAGCGTAATCTCATAGGCACTGACTGCACTATAAGCTTAACTGAGTTGCACCCCATGATGGGAAGGCCAGTCCCTCGAGGAGCACACCTATGGCATCTCCCCCGGGGGGTTTCAAAAATGACCAAGTCAAAATACTTTTACGGAGTCTTAAACGTCAATAACGTTCCACTGCAGCGAATTTGAACCTAATTATTCAACTGCCTCGAAATTTGATATCTTCATCAGCTGACAAGGATGAGAGAAAGTTGCCTTCATGTATCCTTCCTGAAAGCAATTAAGATATGTTCACTTTGTACTGTGAGTAACACTTTTCAAAACGCCATGAAGAGCAAACGGTCCCCAATTTGTGTACGCTATGATGATGAAAACGATGGTCTTGCTTTTTTAACGTGTTTCTGTCACCCTTTATACAGTTGAGCTCTCCCACGTGCGACTCAGGAATTCCCAAAATGAATACATAAATGCAAGTTTGCTGGTAAGTGAAAAGCCCATTTCTTGTATCGTTGTAGGTGCTAACCTGAAGCCTGTGTTGCATTAAGTTGCTGTGTCGCATTTAGCAGTTTTCAAATAAACGTGAATGCCCCAATTCTGCATGCAAATGATACGGCTACAATTAGAATGAACACGGCACAGCATAGATTGGATGGAACAGTTACTCAATATAAACATTCAGGGTGTAAAAACTTCATATAGCGAAGGTTATACACCTCCATAATAGTAAGAAAATCTCCCGGGAAGACCTGCTGTGGCTGGAGTCTCAACGTAAAACAGTTGGATCACCAACTCAAGTCACCCGTTGAGATAACGAAATCAGAACTGACGGGAGATTACAATACCATGAAGCAACGATCCATATCATTTTAAACGTATGTTAGCTTATTATACCAAACCTTTAGCTTGGCACATTTTCGAAATCGCGTGCTGTGCATTCAAGTGCGCGAGGCTAAGAACGCTGTTTTGGCGTCGTTAACACTCTCAATGGTCATGGGACGTTAGCCAATGGGACACCGGTTGAAAGCCCCGAGCATAAGCGACAGACTATCCAATGAAAGTGGTCGAGCACTATTGTACTGCCCTGATCCGCGCCTGAAGGAACTCCCGATGATTTCTCTCCAAACTGAAACTGTCCAATGGGCAACTTGTGATGCCTGTCTAAGAAGGAGATCCTAGCTACCACATGATCCAAAGCTTACGCCGTAACCAGTGCGGACGGACATGCAAACCATCACATGAAGCTGTCTATACTTATTGGTCGCTAGCCGCTACCTGGTGGTGGCTTATTTCAGCGACCTAACCATGGTTACGATGGTGGCGTTGACAGGCATTCTTCTAACTGGTATTCCGCAGTCCCTTAGGTCTAAGAGAGTCAGCCAGGCCTGCAGTTGCGGTTGGTCAAGCATGCGTCGTGGCTAGGACACTGCACACCCTAAGCTGAATCAGCAATGGCTGCTAGGCGGTTGGACAATTTTGTGCGACTGTTACTGCGACGACCGTGCGGGACATTGTTTCCATTAAATTAGGTAGACCAACCTGAAGCTGAACAATGAATGTCCTATGGGTGCTTACTTCTATCACAGTTGGTGACTAAACACAAACATTGTTCCAACTAGAAGGATTTCAAGTGTGACAGAGACATGACATTAGTGAGCGTTTGTCTCCATGGGCGACTTTGTTAAACAGTTATCGCTTCAGTGTCAACAGGTATGGTCTTAGTTAAGGGTTATAGGAAGGATGCGGAACTTATGTATTCATAGGATAACTAGGCCTTACTTTCATATGGTCGCCCATAAGCATGGGGACGCTTTGACAAGTGGCCCTCCAAATGGCACCATTACAAGCATAGTAAATGCAGATGGAACCTCTCTATTAGTTCCATGGACTGGAATGCTATCCTTATTGAATCAGCATTACTCAACAAAGAAACACCTAAAGGGGTTACAAAGACTACCGTACTCATAAATGCCACATCGTCCTGCAAGGAAAAACGCAGAGACCAATACTTAGTTGCGGCACACGCATTTTACTCTGGTAATTCAGGTGAATACTTGAAACAGGCAAACACTGTTGTCTCACCCACGGGTGTTCCTACAGCATGTTTGCAATCATTTACAAAGGCAAGCGCGCCCACTACTCCTGATATGGACCACTGTTTCAATCAGTCTTACGAGCAGTCATGTGTGCACGTCGTGACATACGTTGTTATCGACTTGGCAACTACTCAAACATTGTCATTGGAAAGTAAGTAATTCCGGAGGTATTGTTGAAGAGGGAAAATTGCTCCAAATTTTATGCTTACAATGCGTATGCAGTGCTTGTTGGCGGGTCATATCAAGGCTGTAGGGTCACCTGGTATTTCAAGCTTATCAATCACATGGAAGTGAAGCGTAAATATCATGTCAAAACGCAGGATTGGCATGAACCTTACGACCTTTAAATAACGACAGATGCATGGGCACTGAAGCAGTAACTGCTTACCGAAGTGGCCCGTAGGTGTAGAGACGAACGAACACTCACTAATGTCATGTCACCGCCACACTAGGAATCCTCCTACTTGGAACAATGGCTGTAGATCCAATGATGCTCTTACCTACCCAGCGAACTTCCCGTGGTATACATTGTACCGATTACACCATTAGTAAATACATAAATAAATAAATAAATGGTATATTCTTGGTGAAACGAGGCACACCGGTGACGGGACGATCAAATTGGCATACAAACGTAGCTGCTTTGGAAAAGTAAAACATTTTGTTTCAGTGAAAGGTATGACCGAGATGTTTGGGGTTCATATGAGCGTAGATTTTGTCAGGTAATATTCCGACCCAGGAACATGATGGCGCTGCGTCGCGGAAAAGTCAGTCATAACTGTTGTGTCCATATACAAGTTCGGCGTGATCTCGCCATGTAGTAATACATGAGCACATGAGCCAAATTACGACTGTAGTGCAATCGTTGTCCATTAAAAACTAGGAATTTTCGGTGCTCCATCGAGGCATTCTCCATAACAAAATCGGTTGCACAGGTTGTATGCAGAAGTCATATGACTGCGCCAGTGTGAAATGGTGGTCTGTGATTTTATTCAGTGGCGGATCACATCCGCCACGTTGCAGTGTTGTTAAGCGGACCTTTTTGGCTTTTTATATGGATAACGCTTGCCAGACGAAAACCCACCACGTCCTTGAACACTGCCGTAGGTTACTTTGAAAAGTAGTACAATCTGGCGATGCATCCTACAGACCGAGTTTGCACCCGGTTATTCGCAGTCGATTGACGGCCATATTTCTTGGCTGGTTGACCGATTAGCTTAGCCATAATCCGGCAGTAGTCGTTGAGACCGGTCGAAGATGCAAAGGAGTTGTTTCAAGTGATGAGTGGTAGAGTTAATAGAAACTGGCTTCTTCTTATGTGGTAGACTTGTCCGGGTTGTGCAGATCCTGTCCAGCTATGCCCGTTGGACTTGTCATAGTAGTTGTGAGTACGGTTGGTCCATGTGGCTGAATACGTCCATAGCAAGTGAAAATGCCATTCCTTTGTCCAATTTGGCGTTTTTACGAAGTTCTTAGTCCGCAGTACGTAGCTACACTATTCACATGAGCGTATGGCCCAGTATAACAACACAGCATCGGAACCTTGTAGCTGTAAATGTTTTAACATTTCCAATTCCGAACAAGTAATAGCTTTACCTCCTTCATACGAAGTAGTGTATTAATTCTGATTACATCTCTCTGCCTTAACAATAACACATTTGCCAAAAAATATCGCACATGTAGCAACACTCCAGATTTCTTGCAAAGACAACATTACACTATAAATACCGTATCACGTGTGACCAGTTACGTAAGTGAGCAAGAAAGGCAACCGTACAGACCACCCGTAAGCCTTCCACGCTCCTTTTCCAACAGCCTCCAAACGTGGTAGTCTCAACACAAACAAACAATTCGTTTTCAGAAAGATGTGGAAAAATCGGTTGGTAGAGTAGTTTGGTAACGTTTCGCTCTTGACACAAGAGCTTCGTCAGACCAGGTGAATCAGTGCAATTGGGGTGGGATTTTATAGCGAACAGGGGCGATAACCGCGTTACCCGAGACTTGAGTCATGATGTCATTACAGCAACCGTTCGTGATGTCACCTCAGGTGGTTTAAACACAGTGGGAATAGTCCAGGTGTTCCTTTGTGCGTCATGACATTGACGGATAAGCCCATAGTGTTGACAATGAAAGTCGGTTTGCACTTTCCAATCTTATCCACGCACCGATGCTCGTCAAGCTGGCCGGCTTAAAACCGCCCGCCACGCATTAGGGAGTTCTACCCTCTCAATCGTATTCACGCAGTCGTCAGATTTGACAATTTCCACCGCCTCGGCAATCAATCGCTGTGGAGTTGATCCTATGCTCCTCCTAATGACCTCTACGTTTTCGAGGTCTATCTGGTGACCCGTGTCTAATGCATGCACAGCAACGGCCGAGTCCCTTACTATTGCCTGGTATTCAAACTTGTTTCTTGGTGGTCTTGAAATGCGCCTCCTGTGCTCCGAAATTTGTGTGCGTAATTCTCTCGCTGTTTGGCCTATGTACACATGTGCACAGTCTTTACATTTAATTTTATAAACACAATTAGTCGTTCTATCCTTGGGAAGGGGGTCCTTCAGGTGTACCAGCGCCGAGCGTAACGTTCGTCCTCGCTTAAAGATCACCCTTATATTTTCCTTGTGTAGTACCCTCCGAATTGCCTCCGAAGTGTCTTCCTTGTACGGAATTCCGACCGTCCCTATCCACTCAGCTGTGGGTCTTGACTGCCGGTGTAGCACTTTATGCAATTGACGTTTGACTAGTCGCCGTGGGTAACCGCTTTCTAATAGTTTGCTCATTGCCACTTTCCGCGCAGCCTTTTTGTCCTCCTCCATCGTGCACAAAGTTTGTGCCCTGTAGAACAGCGTTGAGGCTATCCCAGCGTAAACCTGTTTCGGATGACCCGATGTGTAGTGGAGTACGCCGTCAGTATCCGTTGGCTTGCGATATATTGTCGTCTTTAAATTTCCCCCATTCCTGTGAACCAGGCAGTCAAGAAATGGTATTGTACCGCTACAAGATTCCAACTCAATAGTAAACTGTATTCTCTCATTAATGGAGTTTAAGTGATCAAGCAATCCGTCCTTCTTATCCCTTTTAACAAGCACAATGGTGTCGTCTACATAATGCCACCAAACTTTTGGTGAGTTAATGGTGTTTGTTAACGCCCTGTTCTCGAAGTCTTCTATATACAGGTTGGCCAGTACAGGGGATATTGGCGATCCCATGTTGAGACTTTGTTCCTGACTGTAAAGCTTCTACTGAAGGACGAAGTAAGACTTGTTAAGAGACTGTCATACCCTCGATTATCTGGTCAACTGTTAGTTTCGTCCGATCATTCAGACTGACGTCTTCATTTAGACAACGTCTTGCTATTCCTAGCGCCTTTTCTTTGGGTACATTTGTG